GAAACTAGAAAACTACAGTATATTATCCTTTTGCCTAGGACATTTCCATTATTAGACCAACTAATGTTCTTCACATAATATTAAGTATCCTATTATTTTAATTAAAACTACAATTGTCTATGAAGAAAAAAATAACACACAGAATGTGTAAACCCATGTTACAAGAAAACATCTATTGCCCCAAAATGAACATCTTAATTTCCTCATAAAGTTATTTTTCAATTTATCTTCACAATATTAAAATGACACTACTGAGAGTTTACCAGCTAGTATTTCTTATCTTTCTAATGTTCCTTGTCAATTTTTTTCTTTAATTGGCTTTCACAAATGAAAATCATCCATCTTACCAGAAGAAAGACTCAGTTATCAAGAACAAAGTATAACCACAGAGATCACAAGGTCCACAGTGAAAAACAAAATTTCCATCAGCTCAACTCTTTGAGTTTAATTTTCCATTTATAACTGTGACTCTGAATTTAATTAAATCCCTCACTCTCTAGCAACATAATGAACCCTAAGGCACATCTTTAAAAAAAATGAGGAGTGTGTCTTAGTCATTGCTTTGCCACTTCTAGTCCTGCCTCAAATCCATGCCACAACCCCTCTGGGCTAAAAGCATCCTAGGCCTCTAAATAAGCAGCAATGAGCTAAATTTGGTGTCAGGATTTGAGAAGAAACAGGTTAAGGTCCAACCTCCACAACCTGGCCCAGAATATTTTTCATCCCTGTATTCATCAGAGACCCCTCTAGTTATAATTAGCTCAACTAATCCTCCTTGGCTAGCTGCCATCTACCAAACAAGCATCAACAAAAAAAAGTCATAAAAAAGAGAATTCCAACAAATGGGAAAGTTGACAAGTCTCAAATATTTTTTAAACACAGAGATACTCAAAAGGCTTCCTTGAAATATAAGGAAGTACCTCAATTTAAGAACATTAAGAGACATATTTATATAATTTAGGTAAATAAAGTTCCTCTAATATTATAGTATAAGCACATAACATGGCCTTAACTGGCTAGATGACAATAGTCCTTGCACCATTTATAAGACTCAAGTCATGTAGGGAGACTACCCCAAAGCAGCCATAACTTTTAAAAAAGCAAAATTCCAAATGGCACAGAATGACAAACCTGGCAAAAAGTCACAGCTACCTGGCTGGTGTAGCTCAGTGTATTGAGCACAGACCTGCAAACCAAAGCATCACCAGTTTGATGATTCCCAGTCAGGGCACATGCCTGGGTTGCAGGCCAGGTCCCTGGTGAGGGGCCCCCAAGAGGCAACCACACATTGATGTTTCTCTCCCAGTCTTCCTCCCTACCTATCCCTCTCTCTAAAAAATAAAACTCTTTAAAAAAAATCTTTAAACAATCTTTTTAAAAATCTTAAAAAAAAGTCACAGCTGCTGATTACCCCTAGTACCTCCAACTATGATAAGGAGTCCCTTCTCACTCAGCTAGTACTCACATAGATTTAGAATAATTGGGGGCCCTGAAAAACCCCTTCAAGGTGAGAAAACTAGCAAATGGGTAATATCACAGGCAGGCAGGCAGGTGACCTGAGGGTAGAATACACCAAACTAGGGTATTACGTCCTAGAACCAATAAAGAAGAGTCTTCCTCTGAAAAGAAATCTTAAGTGCCTGAGGAACACAGAGTTGGGAGATGCCCAAAGAACACTGAACCTTCTTTTGGCCAGGGAATATATACTGAGAACTCTCCTATTGACATTAAACAGTTTTATTAATTGAATATTTTTACTTTAAAACTTATGATTAAAGCACCTGAGAATGGAGATGACCAGCTTTTCTGTAAAAGCACATTGCCTAGGTTTGGGGAAAGAGATTCAAGCCAAGTATAGCAACCCCAATTTCCAGTAAATTCAGAAACACATGTACACAACACATCTTCTGAATTTCATGTTCCCACCATAATACATACATCAGAAATACCAATATAGAAAACTGCACTTTATAAGCATTCAAAAGAAATTTTGTTGACTGGACTTAAACAAAAACTATCACCAACTGTGTATTTACATCACTGTTAAGCTTCTCCTCTATACCCCACACTTCTTTTTTTTGTTGTTGTTAAACATATCAACTCCCTAGTGCTAGGGGCCTGAACACCAAACCTGAAAGAGGAAAATAAAGACCTGTCATGACTGCCTTGTTCTGTTTATTTCTGTTGATAACATATGGTTATCTTTACGGTGGCAATGCTATCTGAAAGGTCATTGTCATTTCAAGAAAAAGTAAAAATTATTAGCCATCTGATATGTGACTAGTAAATTCACACAATTCATCTCATTTCAGCTTCTCAATAACCCTGTGACATAAGTATTAATACCCAAAGTTTATATAAGTAGAAACTGAGGTTCAGAAAAGTTATGTATCTAAGTCACCTCTGAGCAACAGGGTTCAGAACTAAGTCCATACCCTTTTATCTTTCTCAACATTTATGTAATCTTAACAGGTGTTATCAAAACAAAAGGTAGGCTAACTTGCTAAAAAGTACATGGAAAGAGCTGAATTTCTTATTTATCATTCATGACAAATTCTCATAGAGCATTAACCACTACAAGATAATTTATTTGTCCCAAGGATATGATACAATGCCCAAAGGGAACTGACAGTCTAGGAGAAACACATCTTTTAGATAACTAAGTTTTAATAGGCAAAGGGTATTGGAAAGGACAAGGGTTTTAGATACATCTACACACACAAGTCCTTACTAGCTGTGAATTTTGGACAAGATACTTAAATTTTCTCAGCTGTAAGGTGATATAAAGCATCTGCTACCTCACAGGGCTCTTATAAAGCTTAACTGAAACAACATACGAAAACAGGGGTCTAATAGTCATTCAATCTTTGCCTTATGAGTGGCACAACCTATGTATCAATGAATGGAAATATCAGTAAGTACTACAACAAAGATCAAAAAATTTGATCAATTAAAAAACTTCAAAAATCAACAAAAATCCCAATCCTTACACTTGCAAACTGATCTGTAGAGACAGCTAACTCATTGGCCAATTGAGTTTATCATTTATAACAGCAACAGAGTTCATTAATCATATAAAGGGTTTACACTTGAAGTACAAAAAAAATTTTTTTAATTCTTACCCAAGGATATGTTTATTGATTCTAGAAAGAGGGGTTTCCTGTACGCGTCCCACAAAGGAGTAAACCCCCAACCTTTCAAGGTACAGAGACAACACTGTAACCAACTAAACCACCCCGACAGAGTTTGAAGCACAAAACTTAAACAATGATAAACAGGAGGACAACCAGTTAATTTGGGGGCAGGGAGCAGCAGGAAGAAATGTCATCTCTGTGCAAAACTGCCAATTTAAAAGGAAAACTACTATTTAAAGCAAAAATGTATCACAACTAAACGCAATGCTGGACTGAGTCATGGAATACTAGTCTGAATAAGTCTAGTTAGTAGTAATGTATCTATAATAATTTCTTAGTTTTGACATGTGTGCAATTGTCCTACAAATTTAAAAGTATTCCAAAATAAAAAGCTTTTTTAAAAAAGTAGATGACAACAGAAATGAATAACAACATTGACATCAACTCTCAGGTATTGCCACTTGATTTAGAATCTCCTGAAGACAGCCTTTAACAGTAAAGGCTGTGAAATCAGTCAATGCACACCACCTCTGCAAGCTATTCCAAAACACAGCTACACAGAACAGCTAGAGTTTAACAAACATTCTTAGCTTTTAAAGAGAAGTGATTTGTCCACTTTCACCTAGCATAATGTTGCAAAATAATGGTTTTCTGGTAAATAAATTTTGTTGTTGCAAAACTAGCACATTTCTAAGTTACTTCTGCCTTGCTTTTTCTAAGGCATTTATGCAATAAGCACTTAAGAAGCATCTCTCACTATAACATGAAGTATAACATGAATTTGAAAGTCTAATGACAAGTGACATTTCTGAGCTTAGTGCTATAGGTAGGAATGTGTCCCCTTTTTCCATAACAAGGCAGGCTGTCAAATTCTCTTCGATTTTTATACATAACTCAAAGAAGAGTTAATGAAGTGATGTAAAATTTAATAGGGCATTTTTATTCCCAGGGTCAGATGAGAGCCATTACCGACACTTTTTTTTTAAAGTACATCTACATTTATTGAAAAGTCACATTAAGTGATTTTGAACTTTACTAGCTGTATGTTCAGCAAGATGGCTGAAGCTTTCATATTCTGGGGTTCACAAGAAAACGGTTTTTTGCATAGCAGAAGGCAAATTTTATGCTATAAACTGGTGATGAGGTTTAAGATAAGCACCAATTTCAAACTGTACAAGGTATACACACATACACACAATGTTACTGCTTAAATCAGTTGAGAGTAATTCCCTAACCCTTTTCTAATATACATGTAGAACTTAGAGGGCAATTTTCAAATTTCAAAGAAATCTTAATAATCCTTGCAGATTTTAAAGAAGGAAAAAATAAACACAGCAATGCAGCAAAGTCATTTCTCCTGCTGAAATGACCTCCAGCTTCTATGAGCTACTCTCGGTTTCGCAATAAATGAATCTGAGACTCAAACCAGGCACACAAACGGAGTAGGAGCTGAGAACAACACTCAAGCTCTCCCTAACAGTCCTGACGAAACCCACCTGCCTTTACTCAGCCCTCCCAGTTCCCCCTTTTGTCCGCGCACACTCAGTTACTTCAACTTCGACTAGGAAAAGAAAACATTATCAGCAACCAAAATCCTGTTTTACCATCATTTACAGCCACTATCCCGGGAAACTGGAGTGCTATTAACCTGATTTCAGGGCGGCAGAACTACACCCAGCAGAGCACAGGGTTATAAGTTATTCGTAACGAAACGCCAGTCCAGCAGTTCACGGCAGCTCCAATGTCAATTTAACGAAAAAGGTTTCGCAAATAGTGTCTCTAATGAACGTACCCACCAACCCTCTCAAGTGCCAGTATCCAAATTCGGCTGAAGCAACCCGGGAGATAAGAAGAAGCGTGTCTTACCTTGTACAAACCTCGACATTTTGGGTATTGATTAAAATACTCTGGTTTTTATATATGTTAATTTCTAGAGAAGTCACGCTTATCAGGTAGTGATTTCCTCCCCTTCTTTAACAACCGACGTGTTCTTTCTCCTCTTCAAATGTTTAGCTACTTAGGTATTTATTGAAAGCGATTAAAACTGCCTCAAAAAAAGAAGAAGAAAACCTCCACTTCCAAAGACAGAAACTTGGTGCGACTGTCTGTTTGTAACTCCGGGCTACACTGCGCTCCTGACACAAGCGAGGGCCAACTGGAGACTGCCAGGAAAGGTAAAATCACACGAACTTAAATTTCATCAATGAAAGAGGCGGATCTACAGCGGCTATTTCACCGCCCCTGGGTCCCCACGCCCTCCGGGGCTCGACACTGGCTGGCGCTGGCGGGCCGCATTCCAGGCTCTACCTCCCCTCAACGCAGTCCAGCCTCCTAGCCAGTTCTCCGCAAAACCGGTCCCCCACCCGAGCAGGATTCGGAGAGGCGGGAGAGGCTTGTGAGGCCGGCCCCGGGGGGTGGGGGTGGGGGGGGACGACGAGGAAGAAGCAACCATTTTTACCAGCCCATAAATATCCTGGGACTAGGAGGTGCTAAGAATTCCCTGCGAGGGCGGGCACAGGCCTCCAGCTCCCCGCCTTCCCGTTCCAGCCGCGAAACCCTAGCCGAGGCTTTTTCTTGGGATGGGAGGGGCCGAGGGCTCCTCGCCCCTCCCCCGCGACACACCGGGGCCGCCCGAACGGGGAGAACTCGCGAGCGGCCCAGAGTCTGACAGACAGGAATCCGGGAAGGCCTGATCCGCCTCGCACACCTTCCGGCCCCTCCTGCCCACCGCTCTTCCAAACCCCAAATTTGGCCTCTGGGGCCACACGGCGAGTAGAGGACAATGGCTCTACACATCTCAGAGTGGGAAACACACCCCCCTAGGGAGTGGTGGGAAGCCCACCCCCTCCAAATTGCCACCAAGACCCACCTTCCTCTTCTTCCTTTAGCAGCTGGGAAATTGGGGGCGTTTCTGGTGCCCCAGGAAGAAGGCCCGCAGGCTGAGTGAATGTCACCTCAGAGGCACCCTTCTCTTTCCCTCCGTACCCTCACACCAGCACACCTTGAATCCCTTGTCCGCAGTTGCCGCCCAGCTGCTAAACCCCTCCGCCCAACCAGCTGCTGGCTCCGGATACCTGAAATCCCCCCTACTTTCTTCAAAATTTCTAAATAGTTCCCCTCCCCCTTCGTTTGGAGCAGCCCCCTCGGTGCGGAATTGTTCCTGCTGCGCAGACGAACAGGAGCAGCCGCCAGTCAGGAGTCGAGGCGTACGCAGGAGCTGGCCAATGAGACTCGCGGAAGTGTCAGGGGGCGGGCCGTCTGGAGCTCCTGGACGCCCAGAGGAGGTAGGCACTGAGCCGAAAGTGGGGATTCCGCGCATTGGGTATGCTTTTGTGGTGGCTGACAGGAACATTTCGCCAGTAAAATACCCTGCTTTCTACAGATAACTTCAGTAAGGGAGTGGTTATTTTTCAGTCTGAAAATTGTTTCCGCTTATCAGAGGCTGAAGAAAGATACCTCTTCTGTGCATAGAGCCAGAGCACCAGAGAACACCTATCCCGAGAGACCCCAGGCTTTTCTCACAAACTCTCCTCACCATATCTGTTTTGGGAAAGGTGAAGATACCTTAAGGAATAAGCAGGGGATGTGTGGGGCCCACTAACAGGAGGGATTTAGAGCGTGAAAGAAAGTGCCGAATGAAGACTCTCCTACAAGAACCACCACCTCCGAATCCTATTACTGTAGAAATTTCTACTGTGATAGGCGTTTACTTGGTTCCTATTCCTGTAGAAATTTCTGTTGTAATAAGCATTTACTTTTCTAATCAAAGTTGAAATGGCTTAAGTTACCTGTCAAGAGATGCTTACCTTTTATAGATTATTGAAGTCCTCAAGGAAAGAGGATGTTAAAAGACAGAACGTTGGCAGTGTCCAGGGACTGCAAAAAGGCCCGCCCAGCGCCCGCCTTATCTGTAAGATTCAAAGCGCCAGTCAACGGGTGTATCTCAGATTTTACTCTTCATAATTCAACCTGTCTACATCAGGACAGGTGAGTTGTCAGCACTCTCTAGGTGCCTTCAATAAGCCAAGTAATTCTAGAAAAGTTTGGACAAAACTAATCAGAGTGAGAATTTCTAAATGGCTCATTCTCTAAACATTAATTTTTTCAGTGCCACATATTCAAATGGAAATATTATTAAACAAGTAACAGAAAAGTCCAGTGATTCATTTGTCACACTAGAGAATGACAACCTTTGTTACTATATTTCTTACGTGAAATCCAAAAAGATTACACCCAAAGACCCATCAGCTGTAAAATAATTTCCCCAAATAAAAGCAAAGTATCTGAAATCCAGATGCATACATTTTAATAATGGCATTTGGAGATGAAGAACTTAATGAGAACGTCCACATCTTTTGTGTACAGTAGAGAAATTGTTCCAGCTCTAAATAAGCAGTATTTATCAATCAGAATTAACACCAAAATAAAATATCGCCAAAAAAACTTAGGCCCCATACGGTTGCTCAGCCTGCAATAGATAAAGTCAAAGGGCATTGAAGAGTCTTTAATTATACATGGTTTATTGTGAGAAGGAAGATCAGTTATTTTCTTTGCAGAAGATTAAGGGAGAGGAAATGACTTTCAATTGCAGCAAGAGCATTTAGTAATATCTAAGAATAACATCTTCATTTATGAGTGATTATGTATTGAGATAGAGTATCAAAGGTTGTACACATGCTGCCTCAAGAAATCTCCAAAAAGTAATTAGCTGTCTTCAATGGTTAAGTTTATGACCACCCAGATGCTGCCTGTTACAGAACACTACAAGCTGTATTCCCAAATATTCTAAATAGTGCCCTGTAAGTGAAATTTCTTTCTACAGTGGCTTAAATTTTAATCCTGAACACTGAAGGATTTTGTAAAAGAACCTCCCACTCCCTCAGAATCACTAAAACCAATCTCACTCAGCAGATCATGTGGGGTTAGGGAACAAAGATCATGGCCATGGATCAGTTTCAAGTCTGCTTAGAAGGCAGTTGCCGATTTTTCTCTATATTTATACATTTAATACCTAAAAAAATTTCTCTCTCTCCCTCTCTCTCTCTCTCTCTCTCTCTCTCTCTCTCTCTCTCTCTCTCTCTCTAATGCTATTTTTCAAAACACTACAGTGGAATTTCCCCTTAAGGTAAATGGTGCTGATATCTGTATCATAAGAAACGTGTAACATGGCTAGATAGATATACAGATTAAACCTTGAGAGAAACCCAGAGGTATCTAAAGGAGGGTGAAGATGGGGGGCTGGGAAGGAGTATGTGTGCAGGTTTGAATTGGAATGGATTAAAAACTAAAAAGAAGCCTGAGAACCATTTTTTCACTGGTAGCATGTGCTATCATCCAAGGATGATATAAATTCTGCCTATACTTTTCCCATTCCTCCTTCCTACTTCCCCATAGAAACTTGAGAAAATTCAGTTTCATTTAACCAGTCCCGTGTCCTGGCATGTGTAACAACCTTGACATATCATTTTCTTTTTTAAAATTATATTTTATTGTTTATGCCCTTACAGTTGTCACAAGGTTCCCCCATTACCCCCCTGTACCCACCCCTCCTCACAGCCCCAGGCAATACCCACCCATACCACTCTTCACTTTTATGGGTCGTGTGTGCAAGTTCTTTGGCTACTCCATTTTCTATACTGTGCTTAACCTACCCATGGCTATTCTGTAACTACCTATTCATACTTCTTAATTCCTTCACCTCTCACCCATTCCCTCATACCCCCTTCCCATTTGGCAACCATCAAAATGCTCTCTGTATTCATGATTCTAGCTCTGTTCTTGTTTGCTTAGTTTTTTAGATTCAACTGTTTGATAGATATGTATTTATTGCCATTTTATTGTTCATAGTTTTGATCTTTTTCTTAAATAAGTCCCTTTAACATCTCATGTACTAATGGTTTGGTGATGATGAACTCCTTTAGTTTTTTCTTGTCTGGAAAGCTCTTTATCTGCCCTTTGATTCTAAATGATATTTTTGCTGGGTAGAGCACTCGGCTGTAGGTCCCTGTATTTCATGACTTTGAGTATTTCTTGCCAATCCCTTCTAGCCTGCAAAGTTTCTTTTGAGAAATCAGCTGACACTGTTATGGGAATTTCCCTTGTAAGTAAATTCCCCTGCTTTCCTCTTGTTGCTTTAAAGATTCTCTCTTTACCTCTAACCTTTAGCATTTTAATTGTGATGTTTCTTGGAGTAGGCCTCTTTGCATCCATCTTGTTTGGGACTCTGTGTTTCCTGGACTTGCATGTCTATTTCCTTCACCAAATTAGTGAAGTTTTCTTCATTGTTTTTTTCAAATAGATTTTGAATTCTTGCTCTTTCTCTTCTCTTTCTGGTAGCCCTATGATGCAAATGTTGGATCACTTCAAGTTGTCCCAGAAGGTGCTTACACTATCCTTGTTTTTTGATTTTTTTGTTTTTGGATTCTTTTTTCTTGTATTCTGATTCATTCTTTTTTTGCTTCCTTCTGTTGCAAATCATTAATTTGATTCTTGTCTTCATCCATTCTACTTGTGTTTTCCTGCAAATTGTTCCTTATTTTAACTAGTGTATCCTTCATTTCTGACTAGATCTTTTTTAAAATATATTTTATTAATTATGCTATTGCAGGTGTCCCATTCCCCCCACTTTATTCCCCTCCACCCTGCACACAACCTCCCATCCACATTCCCCCCTTTAGTTCATGTCCACAGATCACACATATAAGTTCTTTGGCTTCTACATTTCCTATACTATTCTTAACCTCCCCAGTCTATCTTCTACCTACAATTTATGCTACTTATTCTCTGTGCCTTTTCCCTCTCTCTTCCCACCCACTCCCCTGGTGATAACCCTCCATGTGATCTCCATTTTGTGATTCTGTTCCTGTTCCAGTTATTTGCTTAGATTGTTTTTGGTTTTGTTTTTAGTACAGTTGTTGATAGTTGTATGTTTGTTGTCATTTTACTGTTCATATTTTTTATCTTATTTTTCTTAGATAAGTTCCTCTAACATTTCATGTAATAAAGTCCTGATGATGATGAACTCCTTTAACTTGACCTTATCTGGGAAGTACTTTATCTGCCCTTCCATTCTAAATGAAAACCTTTCTGGATAGAGTAATCTTGGATGTAGGTCCTTCCCTTTCATGACTTGGAATACTTCTTTCCAGCCCCTTCTTGCCTGCAAGGTTTCTTTTGAGAAATCAGCTGACAGTCTTATAACTGTCTTATGAGCACTCCTTTGTAGGTAACTGTCTCCTTTTCTCTTGCTGTTTTTAAGATTCTCTCCTTATCTTTAATCTTGGCTACTGTAATTATGATGTGCCTTGGTAAGTTTCTCCTTGGGTCCA